TTAGTTCTTACAGGAAATCAAGTTTCTGTAATAAATAAAACAGATATTTTCTTAACTATAACAATACTAACAGAAACAGAAATTTCAACTCAAACAATAAAAAATGAATTTGAGATATTTAAAAGCCTTTTCCCTAGTATAAATCTAGATGAACTTCTAGAAACAGAAGAAACAACTATGCTCTTATAACAAGAAAAATTGAATGAAGAAACTACTAAAGAATTACTTCTTCAAGAATCAGATCAAAAAGAAATTTCCTCTTCTTCAAATAGCTCTCTTACTGAATTTATCAATAACTTAATAACAGAACAAGATAAAGTTTTTACAAGAATAGATCTTTTAATTAGAACTACTTACGAAGAAAAACTTCAAGAAATAATCTCTTGATTAAAAGAAGAAAACAGAGGAAAACTATGAAGCTAATTAATCAAAACTCTTGAAGCATGCTACTATTTAGGACAACTGCAAGAAAGCATAACAGAAAATAGAAAAAGAATAAAGTATACTTGAAATACTTTACAGAAGTCTCTAGGATCTTTACGAGCAACTAGAATATAGAAATGTAGTAAATGAGTTTACAAGATTTTTCAAGTATGTGAATTACTGCAACTCTACTTCACTACTTTCAGTTACTTGAATAAACTAAGTGATAAAGATTTTATAGACCTCCTAAATATAGTTAAAATTCACAGTGCTCATTTTTAAAGAAAACAGAAATGTTATAAAATAAGTTTGAGTTATTTAATTTATTTAGTTAATTTCTTAAATGTATTTATCGATTTCTCGATAAACCTAATAGTTAAAGTTAGTTTTAAATTAGACTATTAGATTTAGCTTGATGAGATCTTTTGAACAAGCTATAAATTATAAGAAACAGATATATAGTTATTGAGTTATCCTAGAAGCAATATTCAGATGAATTACTTTTTTTACTTTTTTTACTTTTCTAAAAAAATATATAAACTCTACCTTTTTCTCTTGTCTCAGATTAGGTTTTTGACCTCTACAATTTCCTTAATATTAGAATTCTCTTAGCATAGAAACTAATAGATAGTTTTGTATTATCAATATTGTATTCTAAATAAAGTATAATCTTTGCTCTTTTATTACTTTATAATAAACTGCTACAGTGAAGTAATATTCTACTTGGATACTATTGAGAGCTCCTCTTCTATATCTTATATTATTTATATTGTAATAAGAAGGCCAATACTTGTAATAATACCATTGATCTTTACTATTAAAGTATTGAAATATATGAGAGAGTAAAGAGAAGAAAATACTTATTATAGCAGATTGTTTACAGATCTATATAGAAACTAAAGAAAATACTTTAGAAAATAGAAAACACTACTGTATATAGAGCTTTTTTTAGTCTTTTGTTAGTTTTTGTATTACAAAAATTTTAAATAAAATTGTGATCTAACTGCTGAATTTTAAAAAAAAAATTATCTTATTAACTTAGTCTGAAAGTAGTCTAATTCTAATCTTTAAAAAAAACTACTAAACAATAGTTCAAAACTAGTAATTTAACTAGTCTAAAAATAAATTATATGTCATTGATATTTTTATATTAAATTTTGATATATCTATATCAATATAAGTAGTAATATATAGTAATTTAATAGTTTAAAACATTATATACTATTATTATGCAATGAACAATGATAAATTATTTGATATAAACAAAATATTTATTTATTTAATTTTTTAAAAAAATTAGATATTTTTTTTTTAATAAAAAAAAGTGAAATAAATAAAGCTTTTCAAATAATTAATACATCTAAAATATACTCTAATACTAATAATATTGAAATAAATAAAATATTACAAGCAAATAATATATTTAAAATATTATTTTCTAGTATTAGAAATATTGAAATAAGTAAAGTTTCACATATTGAAGAAACTTTTAATAATAACAAACAAAATAATATAATTAAATCTAAATATTATAGTGAATTTAAATATTATTATTATAGTAAATCTAAACATTATAATAAATTTGAACATTATAGTGAATCTGAATATTAGATTGAATCTAAACATAATAGTGAATTTGAATCTGAAGAATCTGTGATTAAATGATCTAAGAATATACATCCTATTTAGCAATATTTAAAGTATTCTAGTAAAAAGCTAAAATATATTTTGTACTAATATAGTATTTATTATAAAAAAATAATAGGAATAAGTACAATAAAACATCATTTTAAAAGATATTATTCTGCTAAATATAAAAAATTTTAACAATTAAGAAAAGAACTATATAGTCAAGAAAAAATCAATAAGCTTAATAAATTCTTAACTCACTAGATTATTTATAATTAATAGCTATTTAATACTATTAAAAATAATAATTTTAAAGCATTAATTTATAAATTAAATTCATATTATAAATTGCCTATATGGTAAGCAATTGCAAATTGTTTAAATAATATATATAAAAAAGAACAAATATATCTGCAAATACTTTTTTTAAACTTTAAAAATAAAGTTGTAATTACTACTGATGCTTAGATAGCTTATACTAATTAAGTATATTTTTCTATAACTCTATATTGAATTGATACTAATTAAAAACTATGATATATTCCTCTAGATATAATTTCTTTATATAAATATATAAATATTTATATTACAAAAAAATTATAGAACAATTAGAATACTTTAAATTAAATAAACTAGTTATATCTATAACTACAGATAATGTATATAACATGGATACATATAGTCATTATCTTAGATATTTATTAGAATCAAAATATAATAATACTACTTTTTACAGAATAAGATATATAGTATATATATTAAATTTAGCAGTTAACAATAGTATAAAAATAGTTAATAGTTCTATAAAAAAAGTATAAGAATTTGCTAAATATATTTATCATTCATAGTCTTGTTTTAAAGAATTGAAAAGACTTTTTTCAAAAAATAACAAGCTATTTTTAGTTTCTGATATTGATATTGATACTTAATAGAACTCTATGTATTTAATACTTAATAAGTTAATTAGAATTAAGGAGATAATGAATATTTTAGTAGAAATATTATCTGAACTTTAACAATTATATCTAACAGATAAGGAATAGAAACAAATTATAATAATTTTAAAATTTTTGAATATCAATATATTATTATTTATATAATATAAAATTACTAATAATATTTAATATAGATGATTATATTACTTTTAAAACCAATATATGAAGTAATTAAATTGCTTTCTTCTTCAAGCTATTTGACTTTTAGTAATTTGCAAATAGCATTTGGTGTCATAATCAAAACTCTAATTAAAGTACAAAATGAATCTAATATAATTAAAAAAAAACAAAAATTATAAAATATGCTTATGGTGTTTAAAACCATAGTATTATTTTGATTTGTAAATTTGTATATCAAAAACAAAAAATAAATTTTTATAAAAACAAAAAATAATTTTTAATTATTTTAAAGTTAGAATAAGGTCTAAAATTTTATTTAAACATTAGTATATGCAAAATTTAGCAAGGAATTTTTTTAATTAAAGCTTCAAAAGTAATTTTATAAGTAAAATTTTGAGATATTACTATTTTTTAAAAAAATAAACAAAAAAACAAAATTTTAGATTACACCTGATCTTAAATTTTAATTGGCTATTCTAATAGCTTTGTATGATATGGTGTTTAACACCTATGATGCATTTTAGCAAACTTGAAAAAAAATATCGTAAACAAAATTAGTAAAAAACTTAATCCTTATTGGAATGAGCTAAAAACTTATTTTCACGAATCAGTACTGCTTGATCTGTCATCAAAATTTATAACATTTATAAATAATATAGATAAACATAAAAGTGATTCTAGACAAGTCTTTGAACTAGATCAAATTAGATCTGCTCAAAATTATTTTCGACAACATATTAAACAGGATATATTAACAAATGAAGATGTGTTGGACGAATACTTAAATTCACTGGATGAAGATATCAACCCTCTTATTGACTGGGAATCTAAAGCAAACAATCCATGATGAAAATCTCTTTCTCAAATGGCACGTGATTTTCTTGTTGTTCAGTATCAAGTGAGCAAATTTTTTCCATTACAAAACATACTATTTGCGCTACACGTAATCGGTTAGATCCTGAAAAAGCACGTGCAAGTCTATGTCTTAAGTCTTGGTATGATTCGGGAATTATTAATTAGCATTAGTGGTCATATCGATTCATTTAATTGTATAAATTTATATAACGATAATAATATGTTTATTATAATTATAAACGAACATAATATTATAAACGATGCTTTATACACATATATATAATATATATAACTGTTTATACTGTATATCACTTTTTGAATACATTTTTGTCAAGGTTTTAATATTAGTCTGAACGACATAATGAACTACCTGAACTAGCTAGTTTAAACTTAAACTTTCAAGTTCCGACACTAAAACCAGACCGGACGAACTATTTAACATCCCAAATAGTTGTTATTATTAGCTTAAAAAAATATCAAATAAATTGCTTGTACTGTATTGAACAATGAATATCCGAATACAAATTTTTTGACCGGATAAGTAAATCATGTGAAATCAGCCAATCAAATTTCGGTAAATTTGAATAAACCCGAATCAGCCCGACGAAGAAAAACGAAGGCAATTATATCTTATCCAATCTAACTTAACAGTTAAAATTGCCCTAACCCTAAAGTTAATTAAGTAAAGTATTAATAATACGTACCTCCGTACCCAATTTATATTTGTTATTAATTCGAAATTAAAGTTATTAAAATAATCCTTACGCTTACGTAGATTTAAGTTTGATCGGTAGTGTAACTACCACGTGAATGATAGATTGAGAGACAACCTCAAAGTTTCTCGTATTGCTACTGCCATTAGCTTCTTTTTTACATTTTGAATAGCATCTACACGTTTTTGTTTGAAAAAGTAACCTGTAAGTACACGATCTATATTGATCGCGTTCTTCCTACTCCCTCCTACGATAACAGATCATAATGTTTGACAAGAATGGTAGATGCGAAGTGGTCGATTCTCCAGGATTTGCAAAGGTATATTAAGCCTGCTTTAAAATCAAATAGATCAAAATTTTTTTTACACATATATTAAAATTCAAAAGGAATTGGTGGACAATTTTCGATGGATGATGGACTCTTTTTCTGGAAAAACAAGTCATGAAGATCGACAAAGAGTTATCTATACACTGGTAAAGTGGTCATTTCTATTGCCATTTCCAATTCAAATTACTTTCACAGTCCGTAATCATTAATAATTTTTTTTTATCAGGTAGATACGGCTCAGCATGGATATAGAAAAATCATGACAGCTCTTCTGTATGGAATTCTGACCGAAGATGAACATACGAAGGTGCTATATATTAATGGATAAAAAAAGTATTTTTATAGCATATTCTGAGTACAGCTAATTATCTTTATTCTTTCCTTAGTATTATGACCATATTTGCAATCATGACAGAGACAATTATGGTTATCTTATATCTGTGATGAATCAGATAGTTAAATACAGAGGTTTTGAATTATATTCAAGAAAAACGATTGATCGAGTATGTTAAAAATTTTTCATTGTGTAAATTCGTTCATATATTAAATTATTAATTTGTGGATTTTCTTTTTTTACAGATTTTATGGCTTATTACAATTATCATAGATGAAAATAGAGAAAGCACAGTTAACGCTGGCTTGTATGAAGTTATTGAATGTCTTCTTCGTCAGATTTGTGGTAAAAATTAATTCAAATTAAATATATTCTCATAAATTATTATATTGATTTTTTTTACTTATTGACATTAGGAGGAGATCTCTCCGAGTCAAACATTTGGCTATGCGAGAAGATGCTTGATTTGCTAAAGAGAGAATCGTATATACATATTTTATTTTGTCAATTGTATAGCTATGTGATCTATGAAATTTATTCGTAAATAAGTAATGATAAAAGGTCTTTTTTGCCGCTATAGAGCGTGGCTATTTCAGAATGAGCGTTTGATACATATAACTTTCTACACATTCGCGAGCTTGGCAAGGGAGCATGACAGATTTGATCAGCTACGGACTCGGGAGGCACAATTTTGCAAAATTATTTTTGATAATCATGTATGTAGAAGAAACTTTTACGTTTTAATTGATGAGTTATGTATTGAATAACTCTTGTTGATTTTAATCAGTACAACGTGTGCTTTAAAATCGGTCGCGATTTGTATCGATTGTTGTTTGAAGTCTCAAATATACCCGATTTCGCAGCCATTTATAATAATTTGGATCATAATGGTATGTTTTTCATAGTTGTTTTTGTTATTATGTTTAATAAATACCTGCTCTAATTTCCTAGTTGTGTAATTAATAGCAAAATTGCTTATAATACGAAAACCAACGGTGGATTATTGTTTGAGCAGTCGTCTTACAAACGATGAGAAGGCGAGAATAACCGCGTACTTAGAAAATGTAAGAGTCAACCACTATTATCAAATATTAGTTCCTGTTGTTAACTAAATTTTTGCATACCACTTCATTAATTACGAACGTTTCAACTTTAGCATACACCAAAGGCTTTTCTGCGAAAATTTGAAACGTTCTTTAGAGATTTTTCAGTATCTGGATATACGCTTGTAGACATAATAAGATGGATATGTTGCGCATTTCGTTCAGTAAAGTTAAACTCAGAGTGTCAAAGACACCAATTAATCAATGCAATGATTACTCATGCAGTACGTAAATGTAAATTAGTTTACATTTAAATTTTTTAAAGATTGCTAATCAATTATTTTATGCGCAGCGTGAAAAGGAACCGTCAAGTGAAATAAAACAGTCAATTATGGGGTTGTCAAAAACGGCTCTAATATTGGATTGGTTATCTTTTGATAGGAACAATGTAAATCAAAATATTATAAACGAAAATATATATAATATCGGTAGATGATTTTATTTGTTAAATCTGATGGTTTTTAATTTCTATTTATAAATTATTTTATTATTATTTTACATTGACAAATTTGATTTTAGAGCCAACTATTCGTTTGATAATAGAATCTTACCGTGCTGACTCTCAATTCGGTTCAGAATTAATTGAATTTTTAGGATCTTCTATTAATAATTTCCCTCCGGTCCTTGAACCTGAAATTCGCGAAAATGTTAGGGTCGCTGCTCAAACGGTTTTACGAAGGAATATTATGACGTAAGAAAAATAGTTAAATTTTATTAATAATTTTTAAAAACTTACTTATGTTACATAATATATAGGATTGAAGACCTTAACATGATTCGGAGTAAAGCCAACGATGGCCGTGCAAACAGGATAATATTGGAAATATGGGGTAACAATAAACAGACAGATTTTGAACCCATGAACATTCAACCAACGATTACGCGTTCAAATACTCAAAATAATCCACAATTTGGAATATATCCATTACACAATCAAGCAAGTTCTTCGCCTTCAGCTTCTTATTCATCGAAAATTCAAACTGATTCTCCCCAATCTCATGCACCAGCTGCACAAACTCAGACTTTGAGTAATCGAATTCAACCTGTTCCCTCATCTCCAAATACTCCTCAAAAGATTGTACAGTCAGTAATTAGCCAATCAATACCACCAACATTATCACAGCAATTTTCCCAGCAACAAAATCTTTTGCCTCCACGACAACAATTAACACCTTTAAATCAAACTACAGGCGCCTTATATAGCCGACCATTGAATCAATCTAGTAGCACTTCTAATAATGACCAGCAAGGTTCTAGACGCACATCTGTAAAATATGATTCTTTACCAATACAAAGTAATCCATTAGTTCAGCCAACGCAGCAGGATTTACCTGTTTCAGTACCAAGACAACAACAAATACCTCCAACGTCAGCATTAAAACCTCTGGATCAGCGAACTACTCTCGATAAATCTAAAAAGCTTGCAGAGTCACGAATGTGGCGATATGCATCTGCGTTACCAAACTTTGAGAAAGCCATTCAGAGCAATAACATTGATGAGGCTCTTGAACATCTCAAGAGTATTTTTGAAATTTTTTTAAAGGTAATACTATATGAACCTATAAATTATCATAAATCGATTGTTTACACTTACCAAATATTTATCAGAGTGTCGACCTTGGATTTCCTAATTCGCCTCATTTTGAAGAATTGCCTGAAAAGTTGGCAAAACCCTTATGTAATTCAATAAATTTTGATGAACTGAATAATTGTTATGATTTAGTTAACCGATTTCTCAGAATCGAGCCTTCTGGTCGAAATCTTTTCAATCAATTGCTTTCGTGGATATTTCAATGGAGAACTGAATCAAACGATAATGACACTAATAAATATAAGGCGTTTGAACTATTAAGAGTGATTATGAATTGTACTAAACAGGCAGATGGAAACAAAGTGATTCATGTCAAAGCTCGAACAAAATTGTTGGTGTATTGTCTAGGGTATTTATTTTTATTTGTATAATTTAAAGGTTATTTCTATTTAACTTTAATTTTAATTTTTGATTTTAATGTAGGAACTTATCGCAAGGTACGGCGGGTTTGGCACTCGATACAATGGGTAGCATAAACATAAACTTATCAGAAGTCATCGAGTTGTATACCACTTATTTAAACTTTGAAATTACTCGTGACAAGACATCATTTGATATTGAAGAATTTAAACAAAGATGGTTGGAGGATCTGGCCGTATGCTCTTTTGAAGGATTTTTCTATTTATATATTTTTATAATATATCTTACACTATATTTTATTTATCTAGTTTCTCCAGGAAAAAGAAAATAATGTATTTTTAGCCATGGTCCCCCAATTACTCAAATACTGGTCAAATATTTTTGTTGGAAATTCACGCTTCATTTACATGATTGTGAGTGGAGTAAACCCTGTAATTGTATGTAAAAATATATATATGTTTGTGGTTTATAAAAAAAAAAAAAAACATGCTATTGATATTTTTTAATTTATGCTAGATTTATAAATTTGAAACTGATTTGAGACAACAAAAATATAAAGTTATTGGCAATGTCGAAGACGTAGATTCTTTTCTTGGTTTGATAATTACATATGCTATGTAATGAAATCATCTTGTGTTATATTGTAATTATATAGTAATTCGAGTTTAATTTATAAACTTAGGATGTGCTTTGGAATGGGAACCGTTTCAGCAGATATATCTGTTTAATCTCATAAGATCAGAATACGGTAATGATGTTATTCAGACTGAAAAATTCATGAATGCATCAACTTACTTAAAAAGTTTGGATCCTCTATGTAAGTTTATAGTATCTGCAATTTTCATGTAAGCTATCAATAATATATATATTTGTTTTTATGAACAAATTGTATACATAGCAAATCCAGAAGCATTATCTGGCTTAATATGGCTCCTTGAAACTGTCCCCCCTACTGTCAAAATCATCGAGGCTCTGTTCGAAATTATGATTCCTAAAACCGATGTTGCGCGTTTTGAAGTAATTAATTATATAAACTCGATATTTCACACATGGCAGAAAAATACGACAAATATGTCATTGTTAAAGTCTAATTTAGAGTCGTATTTTGACAATCTCAACACGGAAGACAATAAAGATGAAATTAAAGCTGCAGTGGAGTTAATGGATGATTTATGGAAAAAAGCACATCCTACATTAAAACGTGGTTTGTACATTATTAATGTAATCAGATATTATATTTAAAGTCAATGTATTCTTATACTTCTTTATATATAGAATTATCGGCATTGCAACCAAAAGTTGAAACATTGGCTGCTTCAATCGGCATACATATAAAATTTTTTAATGTGTTTGAAGAGCCTTCGAATGAAAAACACATGGAAAGTGAAGAAAATGATGGTATATTTTACTTATATATACCTAAGGCCATATACTTATCTTTTATAGTTATATATAATTTAAACATTAATACCTTAATTTAGATGAGAATAGTGGTAATTCCAGGTCTAGTGTACTGTCAATATCAAAAAAAACTAAGTCTCAAGACCGCAAATTACGTTCTACAACTGTGCAGTCTCGTAACACAGCGAATGAACAAACCACATCAACATCCGATGGAGAAGAAAATGAGGAGGAGACATCACATAGAACGCCTTCGCCACCTGTTCAACCAAAACGTGTTAAAAGAAAAATTATAGTTACTTCATCGGAAGAAGAACAAGAAGTTGAGCAACCGAACAATCGAAAAAGTCGTTCATCACGTGCACGTTCTTTAGCGCAACGAACAACATCGCAGACTTCTAGAAAACGAAAGAAAGTTGAATAGAACTAATAAAATTTTATTGTAAATTAATGTTATTAAATCCGGGAAATCAAACATTTTTTAACTTTTTGTAAGACTCTGATTTCATAGATAAATTTAGTTGGAATATTTATTCAAAATACAAATTAGTTTATTTAAAACATATAGTAGATTTATCTTGTCAATGTGTTTATTGGTTAGGCATGTAACAGAGTCAGCTTGATGCAAGCTGGCAATAAGATATTTTAAGGCATAGCAAACAAAAATTGAAGATTGTTTTTTTGAATATTACAATAAATGTTTATTTTGATAATACTTTTTTTGATAATTATATTTTTTTTTTATATTATTTTTAATTTTTTAAATTTTAAAGAAATACAGAATTAAATAAAAAAAGTTTAAATTTTTTTGATCTAATTTTTAGCTTTAATTTTACTTAATTTTTTTTATTTTTTTTTATTTTTTTTATTTTTTTTTATTTTTTTTATTTTTTTTTTTTTTTTTTTTTTTTTTTTTTTTTTTTTTTTTTTTTTTTTTTTTTTTTTTTTTTTTTTT